AGATTATTTTTTCTAGACTGCTTATTACTATTTTAAATTGGTTGGTCTTTAAATAATTTTAACTTGTAAGTAGAGTTGTTTTGAGTCCCAAATACCTGCAGATGGAGTTTATTATAGCCACAGGTAATTGGACTTAATTATCTGTAAAACATCCACTAGGGACATGAATAGTCCCATTCTCTCTTCTGGCAGATGTTTTGCAGATATTAGACTTATATCCAATTATCTTTGGGTATTTTAGCAGTACACAATAGCATTCATTTGCAGATGACTATAATATTCTTTTCTCTCCTTCTCAATGTTATGAAATGAATGGGATAATTTATCCTTCTTGGAAAGAGAGAGAAGTATTTTAACGGAAGCTTGAAGAGACTTCCTGAAATTCTTCTTATCGATACCTACTAACAAGTCTTGTCATCCAGTGTCAAAGTCTCAGCTTAGCATTCCCCCAGTGTAAGTACCTAAAGTAGTAGGGAGTTCTGCACAGTCTCCCCAAAGCAGCCCAGAGCTGCGTATTTTGGAATCTTTGGTTTGAACTTTTGAGGGAGATTTTCAAAGGAGTTCAGCTCTCAAGAAGGAGTTGTCAATATTTGCTTAGTTTTAAGGCTGTGAGAATACAGGGAGAAGCTTAAGAACATCTTCCTGGCAGGGTGGGGAAGCCAGAGCGTTTGGCAGTCTGCTGTGACATACATCCTGGAGTTCTTTCCTGTGTGAACCCTGGTATGATTAGACGGTTCAAGGCCAAACCGTGTATAGGCAGTTGGGCAGAAAAGTTCTACAGACAGATTCTCTAAGAAAAAAAAAAAAAAAGAAAAAAAAAAGAGCCATTTGAACTTTTTATAAACGTATTTTCTCCTACATAAAAATTGTGTTTTTTCTTGCTGTAACTTCTTTTAGCATTTATTTTGTCAAAAAGAAAACTAAAAGATTGATTTATTAGTTGTGATGAAGTTTAACAGTTAAGTTACTCCAAAATTAAATTAATTGCCTTGATTAATCCCACCAAGTTCAGTAAATGGTATGAGAACTGTAACTTGCTTTTGGAGGGCAGGGTAGATTTGAGACATAATATCAGCAAAACTCAGCAGTATCACAAAGAGTGAACCTTCACATCAAGGTATGTAACATTATTCTTTCTAAACTCTCTAAGGTTGTTATTTTATATTTTTCATAACCTATACTTGTTTTTATATCTCAAGCTCAGCCAATTTATTAATTTTTCTTTGTTTTATATTAGATTTTATTTTATTTTATTTTTCTCTCTGAAAGCCTAGAGTGAAACTTGACAAATACAAAGTGGTGATAGACAAGGATGCGTAGGGAAACTGTACCTTTCTTCTGAAGGTAGACTTGTGACCACAAAAGTAAAAGATACCATGACAACCTGATGAATTTCAGGTCTGCAGAATCTTCACATATTCCTCATATCTTGTAACCCTGGGAAAAATGACCAAAGAACTGACTGCGCTGAATGAAGGATTTGTGCTTCACACAAGTACTGAAACAAATGTGTTCCCTTTAACTGGCTTACTGAAGTGGGCCTGTGTGCCATAAACACAGTCATTAACGACCTCCATCCATGTACCATTGATCTTCCTGGAAAAGTACCTTTTAAAGCAAATGAAGCAGATCTAGCAGTACTTAAAATCCCCTATCCCGTGGAGAGTAGAAACAACTTGTCAACAGCCTGTGCCCCAAAGCTAACAGTAATTTCCCTTCCTGTCAAACTGCTTCCCTGGGAGAAGGTACACCAATAGGTGTAATGGTTCCACGTACCTCACGGAAAGGGGAAAGAGCCCTCTTTCTCTGCAGTATTTGGGAACATGACAACAGCTTTTGTTATTAGCGGATTCAGGTGGTAAGTAACAATTTGAATACAGCTTTTACAGGTATCCACTGGAGAACCGGAGGATGGGGCCAGACAGGATGAGACATTCACACCCACAGCCCAGGGAAGAGGAGAAGAGTTACCAAGGTGTAACTTTAACAGTGTCAGAGCCAGAATTTAGCATAAACTTTTACCACAAGAAGAAATGAATGTAAAAAAGCTAAATTAAAGATTACAATATGTTGTCAAAGGCTTTCAAGTTGTGTTTCATAGCTCAAGTCTGTTAGTTCAGAAAATATGATAATCTCAATTACGTGGCTAAGTACAAGTATTCCTCATTTCTTAAAATGTTCAATAGTTAGAAGTGCCTCCGTATTTTGGGTCATTTTGGAAGAAAATAAACTTCTAAAGTATTGTGCTTTTTCATCGTGTCCCTTTTGCTATCTTTATACTGTGGAGGAAATAGAACAAGGTTAATTGAAGAAATGAGAGATAGAGAGGGAGGCTCTTATATAATTAGGCAGTCTCAGAAAATCATAATTAAGCAGCAAAAGACATTATTTCCTCACAAGAACAAAACAATTCCAGTCTCCTGGGTAAGTCTGTAATTTGACTATTTTGAAAAAATTTAAACTGATACTATAGAACAATTCAAAATCTGTTCTAACGACAGCCTTGGCTGCACTAAGGATGCCTTGCTTAGCCATTGGAAATCATTGTGCTAAAACCATTCTTATCTCTAAATACTGCATCTCTTGGTCAACATGCAACAATTTTGTGCTGTAAATTTTGTGTGAGACAATTCTATGTGGGTTGCTAATGGTTTTCTTATGCAAAGTAAGGCAAAAGCAGAGTTCAGTCACATGTTGATCTTCATGAGACAACTTCAAAGCTGATGAGTTCTGATAATTAAGAATGCAGATTTGAACATACTTTGTTGCATCACAAAGTGAGTAAGAAGCATCAGTGTGATTGTGGAGTCACGGTTAATGCTTGTTTGATTACAGAGGGTAGGCCTTTTATAGCAGTAATCTTGGCTCATTTTCAGACCCTCTTGTTTTAAACTATCAACGGTAACATACAAGAAATGCAAAGATTATGATATCTATCAGATTGTTCCTTTCACAAAAAGTAGATTAGAAGAATTTAACCAATTTTTTTTGATGGCATTGTCCAAACAGAGGACGGAAGCTAAATATTAATGGGAAGTGACTAGTCCAAATTATGTTCAGTTATTCCTTTGATTCTCCTCTTGGTGAAACAAGAGAGAAAGTATGAGGGGAAACAAATGAGTTATCATTGATGTAAGCTATTTGTTGATGTGAATTTAAACTCTGTTTCTTAAGGAGTTCTGAATGTATCAAAAGCATATCGTGTTCCACATTGTAGAGCTTTTTCTCCCTTGTGGAAGTTTATTTAGAAGATACAGGCTTCTTCTTTTCTTTTGGTTGATGTCACCAGTTAGAATTAGTGAACTTTTGGATAACTGGAAAGATTAAGGAAGAACTTATTTTACAAAAAATTAAAAAAAAATCTATTCTCTCATTGGTTTTGCTGTCAATGCCAGCAACTTTGAAAGAAGAGCAGGTTCCCTCTTGAGTTCTTGATGTTGATGAGCTGTTCAAAATCTGCCCTGTATGAATGAGATTGCTCTGATTCCTGAAATTAGTTTTCCATTTTCTGCCCTCAAACTATTTTAGATTTGCTGCTAGCCCACTGAAAAACAGAATGAGTGTGTTGCATATACAAAAAACTGGAATCGCTATCAATATGCTATAAGAATGTAACTACCAAAACACTTTAAAACTTGCTGTATGTTGGATAGATTTTTATGGTTGTTTTACTGGTTTTACAGATTATTGGGTTCATATATTCAAACTCACTTGCCTTCTGCTACTGCTGTGCACCTGGATTATACTTGGATTATCAAAAATTAATGATGCATGGAAACGGTTTTATAGTTTCTAGGTTATCACAAAATGCATAATCTGCATTATTCCTTGAAATTAAGTGCTATTTGAGCACTCTAAAATGGTGTTTAGTATATAATTTTGTCCTTTGTGGGTGAGAATTTAAAATCAAGGTCAAATATACATCATTTTACTATGCCAGTTTCCCAAAAGGTCATAGTCATTATTCTGTCTCAGAGTTGTTCTTTTTATTTTCAATTTTCAACAACAACAGAAAACCTTTAAAAGGCTAAAAACCTTCATGAATATCTTATTTTGTGTTTTTGTAGCAGATTGATTTCTGATGTCTACTGATCTGTTCTGTATACCAACTCTGGAGTATGCAAGTTAGCTCAGCTGCCATTTGGTGAACCCAGATTCATATTTCATGCATATGTTTAATGACTGTGGGAACATGTGCTGGTTTCTGGGGTTTTGTTGTGGGTGGTGGGATTTTTTTGTTTGGTTGTTTTTTTGTGGGTATTTTTTTGCCATCCAGAGGGATGGCTACATCTGCTACAGTTGCTTCTTACAGGGGCATCACTGAATGTGCCTGTCTTCTATTGCATTCGAGCCATTTTCAGAAAAAGAATGATGCTGGTTTTACAAGCAAAATCTAAATGGGTTTGAACTAGAGTTAGTCCTTTTCATCTGCAGTCAGATTATAAAGTACATCATAGCATACAGAGCAAATATCACTATGTAACTGTATGCTGAACTTTTCTCTTACTGGTATTACCCTCGCTGTGCTCTTTCCTATGCTGATCGTGGTGCAGAAGACAGAAAAGCATCTCTTCCAGGCCTCTCTTGGTGACCTGCTCATGTTTCTGTTACCAGTGCTGATGTTTCAGCCCAGGGGCTGAAATTACAGCAAACCCACACTGTTTTATCCAGCCTCGGGATCAAAAGTTACCTTAAGCTGAATGTACAGTTACGATCTGTATAGGGGATGTGTGTAGTCTTAATCCGTTTTTAAAGGTTTGCTTTTTAATATATTGATATAATACATCTTTTAAAAAGCAAAGATTAAAATATACCTAGGATTTCCATTTGAAATTATATTTTAAATTACCTCTGTGTGTCTGTATGTTTATATCTGTTATGTTATTAACGGTTTAGTCTTAGAAATATCTTTGACGTTATTTTCTGAATTAATTCTCTGGACTGTTCTCCAGGATGGCAGAAGAGATGTGTATATTAACTGTGTGCTCCTGTTTTTATAGATGGCTATACAACAGATGACATTGAATTTTACTGGCGTGGGGGTGATAATGCAGTCACAGGAGTGACAAAGATCGAACTGCCACAGTTCTCCATTGTAGACTACAAGCTTATCACCAAGAATGTTGTTTTCTCTACAGGTTTGTGGAGGGGAATCTAAAAGGGGAATTCACTGGGAAGATGTTTAGAAATGGGTTAATTCTCAACATGCAGTTCAGGATCTGAGCAAACAATTTAGAAACAGGAATAAATTAGAGCAGCAACTGTGAATTTTGAAAGGAACAGTTTTTATTAAAGCTTTCACAGTGTATAAGGCATCGCTCATTAACATATGAAGAGGATACAGTAGTCTGTCATGTTAAGGCTCAGTCAAATAAGCTGTATTTTCTGTTTTCCTACGAAAACTGATTAAGCCACTTACACACCTCAGCGCCCTAAACCCGACAAGAAGTAACCCAGCCTGTAAGAAGTTTAGGAACCTTTCTCTCACTATTTCTAGATGTTCCTTGTGCCAAATTGTGGATGTATTAGACTAATTATTTTGTTTTCGCTGTAAAACCTTTAAAATCCTTGTTCCACAGGATTTGTAGGTTAGCCTATGCTAGCAAGCGTAGGACTTTCTGAAGCCTGAAAAGATGCTTTGTGAGGGGGAGTAGAAAATAAGATTGGATTTCATAAAATAAAAAACAAAACCCAAGAAACAAATAGAACATTTCAATGGCATATTAAATCACTCAAGAGAAACAAGAATTGGGTTGGGCTATTACTACATGATGTTCTCCACCTACTTGAGAAACCTGCTAGATGTGTTTTAAAAAAAAAAAAAATCTTCAACATTCACTTTCTAGATATGGATAGAAACAATCTTTGGAGGGGGTATAGCAGGATTGTGCATCCCAAATTCTTCATAACCGAGCAGAATGGGACTTGAATGTTGATCTCTTGGCACCCATTTCAACAAGTGTTTCATACACCGAAATATTTCTGGTGTCCAGTGACAAAGGACAAGTGTTGCATTGCTTGAAGAGAAGGTTGGAATAAGGGTTACACTGAAGTAAGCATACTGCAGCTTGTCAGGGAAGAAGCTAGGCTTTGATGCTCTGAAATGTATTTTGGCTGTTGATTGTTGAATATGATGATTACCAGCGGATATGCACCTAGAGCACCCTTGTACCCTTAGAAGAAAAGATTATTTAATCCCAACTCTTGCCAGAAGTTCTGCATCTGATTATCCTGGATCTTTCAACTCTGTATGTACTCTATGTTGCATGAAACAATAAAAACAAAATGACAGGAAAATGTTTTCAGGCTTTATACAAGTAAATTATGGCCATACCAAATATTCTCTTTTAGGTGCCTACCCAAGGCTGTCTCTCAGCTTTAAACTTAAGAGAAACATTGGTTACTTCATTCTGCAGACCTACATGCCTTCTATTCTGATCACTATTCTGTCCTGGGTTTCCTTCTGGATTAATTATGATGCTTCAGCTGCGAGAGTTGCTTTAGGTAGGCATTTTTACACATCTCATGGAGTGTGCATTAGCTGAATGCTTTTTCTTGCTTCTGGTGTAGTGGATAGTGCATGATTTGAAAAATAAATGTTAGATCTTTTTATGTCTGGCTTGTTAAGCTTTGTATTATTTGAATTAGTATTTAAATCATCACAATTTAAATAAAAATTAAAGTGATTTCATGTCTGAATTCACTAACTGTATAATCATTGTAACCAGAATTAGCGTAATTGCCTCAATGTTTTCTGTTGGTGTTCTATTGCTTGTTTTTCTCCAAAGAGAACACATTTAGTTTGCTTTTGCCCATGGCAGTCCAGAATACACGTTCAGCACTGTGTTATGGATTATAAATTACTTTTCAGGTATGAATTAAATAAAGCTTTACTAGGGCTGTGTAGCTAACTCCTCCTTGAGAGCTTTTTTTCCTTACTGTTACCTTACATTCTAAAAGCAAAACCATTTCCCTAATTAATCTCTGGAGTACTCTTATATCTCATTGCTAATCCCATGTGTGTTTGTTTATACTGTGTCCCTCATCAGAGGATCCAAGCATGTTACAAAAATAAATATGAGTATCTATTGCCAAATTTTCTATAAATCAGACTGATTCCTGCCAGTACAGCTCTCATATAGATAAAATAAGTAAATCGCCATAAAAGATGCAGTTGTGAATTTGACATTTAAACTTTATAGGATACTGTCGGAGTTTTACCAGGCATTTCTGTGTAACATTTTCCCATAAGAATTCAAGACTGCAGACATCCTGCAAATGCTGTAGGAAAGCAAGACAAGAGTGGTGCTAAGCTGGTAATTTGTAACCGAGACTCGTTAGAGAAGGTTACAGTTTAGCTGGTTAAAAACGTACTCATAGAATCCCACTACTGTTAACGCAATTTATTACAGGTGTAATTTTCTTTGCTTTACACAAAAGTGAAGACAAAGATAAGGAATATGGACAGAGGTTGGGGGTGGGTATTTTTCCACCAGGAAGAAAAATTTCCTGGAATTTTTCAGCTCTAGCACTTGAATATTATGAATATTATGAGCTATTAGGCTAGAAAATTAAAATGAATTCAATCAATAGACTTGTCAATTCTTTTTTCCAGGAATCACAACTGTGCTCACAATGACAACAATTAACACCCATCTTCGAGAGACTCTTCCCAAAATTCCATACGTGAAAGCCATTGACATGTACCTCATGGGATGTTTTGTCTTCGTTTTCATGGCGCTGCTGGAGTATGCATTGGTCAACTACATCTTCTTTGGCAGGGGACCTCAGCGTCAAAAGAAAGCAGCAGAAAAAGCTGCCAGTGCCAACAATGAGAAGTTGCGAATGGATGTCAATAAGGTAAATTGAAATGGGGATATATTTTTAGCATTGCCCCAGGAAGCCAGACTTTCACTTCTGCCAGACAGAGCTTTAAAATGTAATTTCTTGTAGAAATGAGTGGAGTGGGATTTTTACGATCTTGTCTGAGCTCTGCAGAGCAGCGTACTTAGCCACCTCAGCAATGAATGCTGCCCTCTAGCCTGGAAAACTGAAAGTCTTCTTTCTAAAGCATGCACTTAGTTCAGCTTTACCATGAGATGTTTTCTCAGTCAGGATATAGAGTTAAATATGCCAAATCTGTTTCTAAAGGAACAAATCCAAAATGATGGCTATAGCTGATATTCGAGTAAGAGCTGTATGGAACGTTGGAAATAAAACCTAAATTTAACCTACTTTCATCAATCTTTCAGATGACCTGGATAAGAAATATTTGCTACAGAAGTATTTAAAGCTTGAAAAGTTTGCATATTTGCAACATATAATGGCCCAGGATATTGTTGGCTAAATGAGAAACTGCTCAGAAATAAAACATCAACTTGCTGTGCACTTACTTTTGAATCTGAAAATGGTCCCCTGGGGATGGAGAATTGAGGCAGAAAATACATTTGCCAAGATACACACTTTTGGAAAAAGTATCCATTATGCTTAATGAAAATGGAGCACTTATCATAAAGCACTTGTCATTTTTCACTGCGACCATTTTGGATGAGTTTCACACAGTGGTAAATCTGGGCTGAATGCTAAAATGTACTCAGTGTGAAGTGGATAAACTTTCACAGACATGCAAAATTGGAAAGTTAAATAAAGTTAAATTATCATTCTGGCTTTTTTTTTTTTGGCACAGAAAGCTTTTTGAATTTGTAATTCAGCATGATACTCCAAGGGTGAAAAACATAAAATTTAAATTTAGAATTTTAATTCAGAATTTAAAAAAAAAAATTGAAATCAGAAAAAAACCAAGTGATTATTTGTGAAGTGGAAACATAAGTTTCATACAGCTCTAGTGGTGGAATTTCTCGTGTTTGTTCGGAATTTCTACGCTACCACAGTGTGCCTGCAAACAGAAGAACATTTTGTATTTGTAACATTTCTATTTTTGCTGGAATAACAAAAATCCATCACATGTTGATAACATAAAACAGTTAGTTATTTTTATAGGTTATAGTTTATAGTCTTTTAAGATGGAGGATTATATTGTCATGGCTCAGGTCTCACCCATGCATTTATTTTTTTCTTTTTAATTTGAGAGAAACATGTTTTAATGAATGAAGGCAAATGCATAATGATAAGATTAACTTTGATGATATGATAGCTTTTAGATCACCTTTTACCATTGTAAAGTTCATTAAGACTCATAAAATATTTTTCTATTGTTGATTTTTCAGCGGTGTAAAAAAAAAATTGCAAGCTTTTATTTAAGTTATCAAGTTTATTTTTTAAAAAATCAGTTTCCTTCTAAACAATCAAAACTGTTAACTAAGAAACCCTGTAGGTAATTTTATAAGACTAGATCTGTGTTTACCTTTCCTCTTACATCTTTCTTCTAACATCAATGGAAATTGACAGTCCGCAGGTGTCAGAGCGTCACCACTAGCTGAGGTATATTTTTGTATACTTTCACTTGTGATATTTTCTATATACTTATTCAGACAATAGATCTTTCAGCCACCTGACAGAATATCTACAGTGTAGCGGCAAATTGCCAATCGTGAACTAGAATTTGAAAGCACTAACTAGTGTACTAATCCAATCCAGTAGTAGTGCAGCATCTTTGTTTATACATTATAGGCCAGCAAATCTGTAATAGATTTCTTCATATTCCAACACCAATTTTTGTAACACCCTCTTACAATTTTTCTGAACAACAAAAGGTGGTGATAGGAGAAGTGCTGGTTAGCCCTTCCACCCACAACTACTTGCAAAATCAAAGTAGAAGTTAACATATACCGTCTTTACGCTGTTGCATTCTCTGCTGTGGAGAGATCCCAGGGCAGGCACAGACATTGGTAGTCTCTCTGGTTTTGCCCAGTGTTATTCAGAAGATATTAGAGAGCTTACAGACAGTACAGAATCACAACAGACGCTGTTCTTCCATGACTGTGCTATCTGCTGAATCCAATATAATAATCTCCAATATCTTGAAGATCTGGGGACTCTGGAGGAGAATGTCCTGTTTTTTTCTGTTTGAGTGAACACCATGAGGCTGGGTCCAGAACTTCCCCTGGGCTATTTCAGATGAAACTGTGGCTGTATATTTCTTTAAATTTCATATGGTAATCATGTCATATGCCCAATGTGCTGGGTTTGGTTTGGTTTTGGTTTTTTAGAATCATAGAATAGTTTGGGTTGGAAGGGACCTTTAAAGGTCATCTAGTCCAACCCTCCTGCAATGAGCAGGGACATCTTCAACTACATCAGGTTGCTCCAGAGCCCTGTCCAAGCTGACCTTGAATGTTTTCAGGGATGGGGCATCTGCCACCTCTCTGGGAAACTTGTGCCAGTGTTTCATCATCCTTGTTGTAAAAAACGTCTTCTTTATATCTACTATGAATCATCAAAGAAGACTGTAACTTCATACGCTCCCTCATTTTCAAAGATTGTTAGCTCTGTTCCGGGTAAGGGAAAGGAAGAGAAGAGATTGGGCATATATCTTGATTTGCTTCTTGAATTCTGAAACCTGAGTAATAAAATCATGGAAGAATTTAAAAGACATAAAACTCAAGGAAGATTCAGACTCAATTACCAGCACATATGGACATGCTCAATTTTGTTTGGAGTGACTTCAGGTTAAAATGGCTTTGTGTATTATTGTTCCCCTCTTGAAGCTTCTCAAGCTGCATTTAGCAGTTTATTCCTTTAGTCTAGCTCGTCATCTTTTGCCTTTTTCAAGGTTAATTGTTCTCTGTGTAAACAGTCATATTGTTGCTTACAGGTAAATCACTGGCTTTCTTCTCGCTCTAGACATCCTTCATTTATTGGAGATTGCATTCACATCATTTCCTCACCTCTCTTTTCAAGCCTGCCGTCTTATTTAACATTATTTCTTCAAATGCCTTTATTGTCTTTATAGTCTGGAGTTTCTGAATCTCTGCTGTTCTGTATGGCGTAGTACTGCAAGTGTGTATATGAGGATAGGTAAATGGGGAGTGTTGTATTTCTGCTTGAAGACCTAATGTGTGTCATAATCTATGGTTTATATACTCTAACCCATTGTTAGGCAATTTTATTCTGTGGACTCTTCTGTTTTAAATAGGAATGTTGGCTGCCATCTGCATCCTTTTGACCCTTTGTAGGCACATTTGATGCTATCTTTTCTATAGGCTCAGGGCACTAATCTAGTGTACTGTCTGTGCTTCCTCCAGATGACTAACAGATAAGTTTTAAAATGGGGCCAAATTCTAACCTCTGCCTTCACAAAATCATTCAGCTGACTGTCTTCCTATGGGTAATTGTACATATATCTGGGACATATCACCTCTTCAAGATACTGTGTCAAAGGCTTTACTGAAATCCATAACTTCCATCTGTTAATTCTGTAATTACCTAAAAATGGTCTGGCAGGATTTGGTCTAGAAGCCTCTATGAGGCTTTTTTTCTTCTAATTGTAATTTTGGTTTCTGTTTCCTTTTTGGGTAGAAGGGGATGGGGGGAGGGCAATAAGCTATTGTGATATAACCCTTCAAGTTTTCTCCTTTATGAAGCCTGGCTTTGTCTTCAAGGAGATGATTAGCCTAACCGGGATCTCAGTGTAGAGCCTGGTACAACTGCGAGTAATTCCAGATGTAGATCCCCAGCCATTTTAATACACTTAATTTCTATTATTACAATTCAAATAATGAGCTTGTTGGTGCTCTCTCAGTATTGATTTATTCCCCATAAATTTCTTCCAGAATCCAGTAGCCAAGGTGGTTTTGATTAATTTTTAAATTTTCTCTTACATTGTTGGATCCAATAGCTTTACCTTAGATGCTTCCATCTTGGAACTGTGGCTTAGATGGGCTTGCTGATGCTGATCACTGCGATGTGTCTGATGGACCTTCTAGTCTTTGTGTTGTTCAGGATTTGCAGTCTGATCACCTTCCAAGCCCTGTATTCAGTATTTTTTCCTGTGTTACTAAATTCCCAGTCAACCTGCTGCTTATGATGTTGTTACATCTTTTGGATTCATTGCTGTTTTTTCCAGAGCTGTTCATCTAACTCATTTGATCCAGACTACTACATACATTAATTGACTTCTCTGGAGGTGTAAGTAAGGTGAAAATGCTTTTCAATATCAATGATATCTATGTATTTGTTATTCTGGATAGATCAGAAAACCTCCGTTACAGCTAGGTGGTAATTTAATGGAAACCAGAACTGCCACTGTAAAGGCCACGGTAAATGTAGTGGGCTGAATGAAAGGCTGGTTCTTCTTCCTCTGTAAAGAAGTGCTGCTTGCATCTTGCCAGCTTTACATTTGTCAAGGGGTGGTTATAATGGAAAAGCAGCTGTATGCCATCCTCTTGCAAAGCAACAGAGACTGGAAGTGTGTCAGGTAGCAGAGACGATGCTCGCTGCGAGTATTGATATCGGTTCCTACATCAAGGCTCTTGTTAAAAGAAGGGCTACAGCACGTTGTCGGTCTTTCCTTAGACATCAGTATGGTTTCCTTAGACATCAGTATGGTTTCCTTACCAGGATATTAGCTGGACACAGGATGTGATACTTGCGTTTTTTCAACCCAGATATCAAACCTTATAGAGGCATTACCATATAATGATTTGGTGCATCTTGCCTTCCATTTCTAGTCCTATCTTTCTAATTCTTACGTGTTTGTTATTCAGGTAGTGTTTAAATTATTTCTAAATTATTTTTTTTTCTTTATAGTCAGATCATCCAGATTTCGAACAGCTAATTGTTGCAAATTAGCATTTCTTATATAAATTTTTTTTCTTATATTCTTTCAAAGTAATTTGATTTGCCACTTCACAGAAGTGGCATTATGTTTTGCATAATGTAAATACATCACTGAATGTGGT